CACCTTGTTAGATCTGCACTCTGTTCCAGACAAAGCAGCCACTGTTGCTGCTTCTCTCACTCCCATCAGTGCAATACCTTATGGACTTAGCATGTATTAGGGATGCTGTCTTATCAGCAACGCAAAAAGGGGGGAGACGGACAAAGGAAGATGAGCTGTGCATGTTTTCCCTTTTACTCCACATTCCCTAGTTTTGTGAGTCAACATGTGTCTTATCACTCCTTCCTGTGTACTGATTGCTAAGGAAAAAGGAGGAGGATGGAGGAGCTGGAACCCAGGGTGAGACTAAAGACAGAATAAATAGCCACTGGACACACCGGTGCTTATTATTGCATTATCATAAAAGCTGAGGAAGCTCTTAATTATTCTTTGCGGTTCGTGCTATTCAAATACACACAAACAAACACTTTGGTTAACTATGTCAAGAGGCTATGTTAACTGAAGCATGCTGGGTACATAGCTCGGCAGACAGGGAGATGGTGATGAACAAACCGCATGGGCTGTAATAAGTGTTGTTGACCGGTTAGAGCTAGAGGATGTGGCTCAGACAGTAGCAATAAAGTGACCCTATTAGAGGTTTCACAATTTTCTGTCATATATGTGCTGTTAAAATGGCAGATGCTCCTCACAAAAATAGCCAATGAGTTCAATGTACGTCCACGTAATCCCAGTGATTGCATGAGCGCTGAAGCCCCTCCCACCTGTTGTTCAGACCTTTTGTTTGCAAGCTGCAGCAAATAGGGAGAAAGTTGGCCTTAAAGGGAGGGTGAAGGAGACGCAAACGGCTTGTTTCAAGACATACGAAAAAAAGACATCCTTTACCTCACCGCACCCCCAACCAGTTGCGCCAGATGGCTGCCATTCCCTGAGCCTGGCTGTTGCCGGAGGCTTCTTCCTGCTAAAAGGGAGTTTTGTCACCAAATACTTGCTCGCTGATTGTTGGAGTTTTCTCTGTTTTATTTTAGGGTCTTTACATTACAATAATACAGAAGCGGGAGTTATTGTGATTTGGTGCTATATAAATAAAACTGAGGGCCTGTGTCAACAGCCAGGATAAGTTGATAAGGATTATTTCGAACTGTGATTCTAGTACACTTCAGGAGTGAAAGAGTGGAGTAGGAAATGAGTACAAGAGGTAAATTTGTTTGCTCTATTATTTGACCTACATCTGAGCTTTTGCATGTACAGACATGTAGGCCCGTGTGTGTTGCTTGAGGGCACAGACACACACACTGACGCTCACACACACAAATTCACGCAAGCGGTTACAGACCAAGAGTGGTCAGTGAGTTAACATGGCACCCTTTTTAACGTGCCGTCACTGAATGAGTTCCTTTCTTTCTGACTGGATGATATAGTGGCCTTACACACCCTGAATTACAGACACACCCTGCTGCTGCTATTACAACCAACTGAAGGGGGGGGGGAGAGAGAGAATGAGCGAGAGAAAGGGAAGAGGGAGGGAGGGAGATGGTGAGGTCAGAGTTGTCCATATTTGGTAATTCTACCTATGTTTTAATCCCACATTTATTTTGCTTCCCACTTCTGTTTGCTTCTCTTTTTTCCCCCTTTGGATCCAAGATTCTTATCATATGAGAAGCTGTTGTCATATTACAAAATGTGCTTTGAGCTCAGATCTGTTTGTATGTCAGAAGCCTGATTCTCTTGCTCATTCCCCTGTTGTCTTCGCCTCTGCCCCTCTCCTCTTTTGGCATCTGGTCCCTCTCAAGTAACACGTGACCTTTGACCTCTTAGCTGAAAATTCAGATATTTCCCGTCCATCCTAGTAAAGTAGGGATGTGGGGGCTTATTGATTTTTCCATGCAGACACGCTGAATCGTCAGCATTTTGCTCTCCATACATGCGATACCCAGCTGCTAAAACATATAGGAAAACAAACAGACACATTCCACTCATAGTGACACGCAGTGAACATAAATCACACATTGTACTGAAAATGCCATTTTCCTGTGTTTGTCAGCGGATTCCTGTCATGCCTTAGGCCCTGCTGCAATATAAGGCAACTTCTAGGGATAAATGAGCATAATAGTTTGCCTTGTGCAGCGAATGTGTAGTTCAAGTATACCTGTGCTGAAATATATATATAGATATGTGTTATTTCTCTTCAGAATGCCATCATCTGTTTTGTGTTGCCATCTCTTATCAGGGATTACTTCCAAACAGGAATAACAGAAAGACTTGTCTTAGTAGAAAAACTTGCTTTAAATCAAAAGTGTGCAGTTCGGGTTATAATCCACAGCTCTGACACTTTAACTTCAAGCACTTGGTCATAAATAAGGATCTGTTGTGCTGATTTAGTGGCTTTGCATGAATCACGGTTCAAAATAATCCTTATCTACTTTATACTGGGCAAGGGAGAACCACGGAAAAAACTAAAAACTCTTCAAGGATCAAAAGTAAAGCTTGAAAAGACAGACGGTGGCTGCAGTGACACTTTTCAGTGTTTTTGAAACTCGCTTTCACTTCAGCTATTTGTATTTAATAACTTCGCTCTTCTCCGCGGTTAGTTGACAGAGCAACAACAGCACATAGAGTGGCCCACAGACCGGTTGTACCACATACTTTATACACTGCCTCCATCTCCATCGCTGCAGGCAGACGGGCAGTCCCCGCTGAAATGACCATATCAGAGTTATCCGCTCTTATCAAGCTTATTATAATTAAGTGAAACTAAACTAAAAAAATAATCTTCTGAAAAATATTAAAACTATCCATGCATCTATATTCTACTTATTCAGGGTCACAAGGAGCTGGAGCCTATCCAAGCTGTAATTAGAGTGAGAGGCAGGGTCCATCCTGGGCAGATTGCCAGTCTGTTGCAAGATTAACACAGAGACACGGGTAACCATTCACACTAATTAACCTAACCTCACCAACTGCATGTCTTTGGACTGTGGGAGGCAGCCAGAGTACTGACGCAGAGGTGGGAAGAACATGGCATACAGAAAGTCCTCGGCCTGTGAGGCAACAGTGCTAACCACTGCATCACTGTGTTGCCCATTAAACTTAAATTAAATAATTTTATGAAATTTTGGAAAACTAATATCTATCTATCTATCTATCTATCTATCTATCTATCTATCTATCTGTCTATCTGTCTGTCTGTCTGTCTGTCTATCTATATGGAACATTTTCAAACAATAAAAACTAAACTGAAAGAAGAAACTAAACTGAAACTAAACTAAATTAAATAAAAGTCTTTCGAAAACGGGAAACTATAATAACTCTGGCTCTCACTGACATCATACAGAGTCAATAGTAGCCTGAAACCTGCATTACTGGAAGCTTTGGTCATTTTGAGCATCCACCAATGCAGCAGCATATACTGACAGCCAAAGCATAATAGTCAGGGTCCACAAACCGATGGGTGATAAATTCAAGTGAAAACACAAACCCTTAAAGCAGACGTGAGAGTGAGAGTGAAGACATCCAATGGCATTTTTATGGGGACACAGAGAAAGTGAAAAAACATTTATTTTCCACCGCTAACGTCTCCCTGCTGGTTGTGGCATGTGCATTGGCCCTGTGCCTTCAGGGCCCGTTCAGCAAACCGGACCCAAATCACCCGATTTGAATCCCGGAGGGCTGCTTGAAGTAAACAGGTTCATATTGTACTTTCCATTCTCCGGCGTAGACTTTGGCATCGGTAACACAGGACTTTCATCTCCACATCATTCACCCTTTCCCACCACATTCCTGCTTTCCTGTTCTACATTCCCCCATTTTCTCTTTATCCGTCATTTCTTTCCACAAGGCAAAGTTAGAGCCTTTTTTTTTAAAACAGCCAAGTGAAAACTAATGTCAACATGTATTTCTCTCCTTTCACACTAATTAGATCATCACCTGCGGCGGTTCCCATGCAGTGTTAACACGTCTGATCATGAAGCTTGGCTCACTTGTTGGGCGAGTGAAAAGTCACATAACTGTTTTGAACTTTATCTTACACCGTGTTTGTTCTTCAGATCTAATCTCATATCTGACAGGTGGATGGATGCATTTCAATAAACTCATTGGAGAAAAAAAAAAACTGGAGATCTGTTGGGACTGGCCCAAAGGTTCAGGTGGAATTTTTAAAAGGGTAATTGCGTTTTAAATTACACATCACATTTTTGCATCACAAAAATAAATCCACATCACCTGGTTTCTCGCATCTTAGAGCTTGGGAAAGTGTGGATAAAGTTTTTATATTTAAAAAATCCCTCTGGTGGAAGCAGGATCCAATAGGCTGAAATTACTTGTATGTAATGGTGACAGGATGACTGAGTTTTTAAAAATTGGTTAACAGTGAAAAATTCAACCATGCTGCCAAAGTGTGGGTCAGCCACTCAGCTGCACACTGGCCTTCCTGACCTCCTTTTAGAGTGGAGACAGCCTGTTTACAGAGAGGAGTGCTTCATAATATTAATACATCTTATGTGTTTAAGCAGAAAGAGGTGGGTGAAGAGTTTCAAGAAACCGCTGCCTGAGTTTTTGTTACACCTTAAAAAAGAAAGAGACAGACAGATTAGTAATATGAGTAGCAGGCAAGCCTGCATGTGCATGATTTGTCTGCTATCTGACAGCAGAAACGAAATCAAACATCTGGAGCCATCCGTACTAGTTGTTTAGCACGGCGCTCAGGGCAGACTAGACTTCGCTGACACACGAGGGGAGATCCTGAATGATGCAGTTCATCCTGAGAGTGACTGGTACTTATATGGTCATAAAAATCCTTAGCATGCACATACCTCTCTCATTAAACACAGCTTTATCGGTAACCTCTCTAGTCTCTCCCCCTCCTCTCAACGCTTTCAAGTTCAGTTTTTTTTCTTTGTCCCGCCTATTCGCTGTCACCCCGCCGCCCTGTGCCGCCTTTAGAAGAAGCCGATTGGACAAAAGTGTCGAGGATTAACAAAGAACGGCGGCCATTGGCCAGGGGGCGGATATCTGACAGCTGGGTCCCGCCTCATCCTGAACCCCACCCCAGGCTCCGGCGGGCCGTTCGCTGACTAAAATTACGCAAACCAGAGACCAGCCAGTGGAAGAGGGAGGGAAAAAGGAAGAGGGGGGGAGAGAGAGAGAAAAAAAAAGATAGAAAGAGCGACTGACTGAAGTGGAGGAAGCGAGCTCTGTAGTTTAGCCTGAACTCTTCGAAGCTGCTGCCGACAGGAAGATAAGTTTGTCTCACTGCGACGCTGACTGAGCCACACGGTTGTTGTTAGCCACCTTCTTAAAAAAGGCAGCCTGCACCCCAAAAGCAGGTAATTTCTTTCTTGAACACTTTTGTCTGCCATGCTTTCTCCATGTACTCGTTTCTAACTCGTGCAATTCGCTTGTCGCCGCAGCAAGTGCAGTGAACCAGGAAGCAGGGCCTTTTTTTTCTTTTTTGGCTAGTTCAGGGCTGCAAATAGAGCAAGCTGCTCTGGGTGGAGTGGGACCTCCGTCAGAGTTTTAACCCGAGCTTTATTTAACTTCACAGCACTTTAATATTCAAATAATATACTGACCATAAACAACTTTTAATACACGAGTGAGTGTGCAGTATGTGAAGCGTAGGTCTCTGAGTACAGCTTCAGCGTTGTGGCAGCTCGCGAGAAGCTAAAAGTCTTAACGGTAGAGGCAGGAAGTGATTCGCTTGAATGAATGGCACCGTGGAAGGAAAAAAGAGAGAAAAAAAGCCGGGGGAGAGTTTGAGCTGAAGAGAAGAGGTGGAAGTTCAGGCTTTCCGAACACCGGCTCGGTATGAATGCTTAGTTTGTGGTGGTTGAACTTATCGGTGTGTAGCGGTGGGAGACAGACACTGAGCCGGTGATATGTCTGGCTGGCAGGATGACGTCAGTGGATCGCCGAGCTGAGCGTTTCCGCCACTGACCAGCTTTACCCATACTAAACCATATCACCTGCATGTCTGTGCACTGCTACTGCCAACATGGTGGCATGAGGAACACATTTGACTGTGATTTTTGGGAGAGGCATAGAGAAGTCGGAAGTAGGAAACTCATAGGAAGTGGGCTAATATGGATGTTTCAGAAGCTTAACTTGTATTATGTGATTGTCTGTACTATGTGAAGTACATATTTCTAGATAGATTTATCAATAAAATATTCTAGTTCACCTGGGAGGCACTTAACGTTTATTATCTCATAAGATAAAAGTCCACTGGCTTTCCAGTAAGGCTGAGGTTTCATTCTTCATACACTCATTGATTGCCTGATATGAAAGCAGTTTTTTCCAGTCAGCATTATTCCAGGCCAAGATAGTGAAGATCGAAAATAGAGATGCATGTAAAAAATGCAGCGAATGTTATCCACATAGAGGATCTAAAGTCATTAAGGGGTGAAGCAGAAGGAAGTATTTCGCAGAGTGAGATGGGCATGATGATAAAAGATGTGGTTGTTATGTAGATGAGCCAGATGTTAAGTCAGAGTGGTTCCTGCAGTGCCAGCTTAAAATGACCAGGCTTGTCTTGTAATTACAGTGCGGTCCACTCTGATGAACATTAGCTGGGCAGCGTGACTTTTTCCATTTTACATAAGAGCTGGAAGGGCTCGGTATCGGCTCAGTCTGAATGCATTTTTATTTGTGCAACCCAGTGACCCAAATTTACCTCGAAAGGCTTTACGAACTGTAAAACATGAGATGCCATGTAATTTTAGAGCCTCGAAAGTCATCACGGGAAACTTTGAGTTCAAGCTCGGGCAAAGCGTGCATGCGTCTGCAGTGGAAATGTTGATCTGCAAGCACAGATTACAAAAAAGCATCTCTAGTTAGTTCAGGCTCAAAGAGAACATGCATGTTACGGCAACATTTGGGCCAATCACAGATTTTCAGTGTTCCATTCAAATCAGGACCAATCATGTCATACCAGTGTGCATCCTCCTGAGTGATGTGCTTTGTCAGTATCATTTGTTTGCATCCGTTAGATGACGCATAGTTGTTTGCACTCAGGGACTGTGGATAGCACCCTCTCTAGTCATTTAGGCTATGACAAGCACTAAAGTTCAGCATTTTGGGGGAAGGAATGCACAAAGTCTGCATCAAATCAGACTTGGGCATCCCAGCAGCTCTGGCACTCCTCCACCCAAACCTGCTTCTCATTGTAGAAGGTGTTAGTGGTCTCAGAGGGAGGCAGCGTGGCACCCTTTTGCTTTTGAACAGAAATGCTTATTTCATATCAGTTGGTTTCTGCCAAGAAAGTCTTAAACCACAGTGCAAGGTTACTACAGTAACAATGCTTGCAGGCTGAGCAGTGATCAGTATTAGTCATTGTAGTAGCAGAAGAATAGCCACAGCTTGTGGAGAATTCTTCTATAAATGGCATCTCAGGGTGACGTTTCTCCAGATGAGTCTCCCTGAGAGCAGCAGTCATGTGCTGCGATGCTTGAGAAATAAAGTCTGATGCTTGAAGGGTCACATGTTGTATGTCATATCCTGTTATTCGCAAGAGTCATTTTGGCAAATTAATACATTGTGCAACATCTTCTCTGGAGGCCAGTTCTCTTCTCCCATTGCCAGTTTCGGTGCTGTTATGGAGCCCCCCTGCAGAGATCGTTACATTCCATCATTTATGTGTCAGCAATGTCCATACTCGAGGCCCTCCTGGGGGGGCGGCAGTTATGTACCGTAGTCCTGGCGAAATTGAATGCAGGCCTCTTTTAAAACGTGAACAGGGTGCTGGTGTGTGAGGCTGTTCAGTCTTTTCAGAGTGATATGGTCTGAGGGAAGTTGCCTGTGGATATTTAGATTTCATTGAAGGGTGGATGTCCCAGCTGGGGAAGATTACTTGCAGGCCCCTTGCTTTTGTTGCTCTGTGGAGAGGGCAGTGTGACATTATTTGGCACACTGCGATCGTTTACCCTGTCTCAGTGTTCTTTGAAGAAATGTCAGGTATTCCTACTCTGCCTTTTTGAGCTACATTCGCATGTGCAGTAATTCCTGCCGTTTAGATCGCCAAGAAAACCAGATTGGAATATGCGATGGGCTTTTTTAGGGCTGAGAGTAATGGGGCATACTTGAATTAATTATGATACCTGTCTGTTGAAAATGATGGAAAAAAAGGTTCTGGCTTTCTAAAATGTGACTTTACTTTGGTTTAAGCTTTTAACTTTTCTTGAAATAGTTTTAATGTTCAGTAAAATGGTAATGTTTAAAATCGTGTGTGTCTTTGACACAAGATTCACAAATATAAACAAAACATTTCTGTCAGAGGAGATTGCCAAGTTTTTTTTTGTTTTTCATTAAGCATGGCAGAGCCGATCATATCCTCTCTCAGTATGTAGCAGTGTCAGCTGCGAGCGACACTGGCTTAAATTCATTTTTATGTATTAAAGGCAGTATCAAACATTAACACATTTTAGCCTGTGGAGTCTGAATGCAGTATATCATTAATGCTGGCCTTTAATTCAAGTCATTCAAACTGCTGCTTTCTCCTGAATGTCTCTTCTAATTTAGCTCTGCCTCAGTTAGTGGTTGACCCGACTACTCTCAAGGATATGCAGACCGTGTGTTTTTTCTTTTCTTTCTTTCTTTCTTTCTTTCTTTAAACCGCTCTGTATTTCCTTGTTGTGTCAGTCTTCTTATCAGACCTTTCTCTGTGACCTCTGTTCACAGTGCATGTTCTTCGTTTTACCTCCCCTGTCTCTTTTCCTATGCTTATTACCCCCCCCCTCACACACCTGTGAGGTTTCAATAGAGCCCAACAATGGCAGGAAATGACTGTGCTCTGACTTAGTCTACATAAACAAAAGACTTGTTGAGATTTCAGGTCTTGAAGGACAGACCTTGACTTATGCCTCCTTGTGGCAATGGCTCAGCAGATGGTGCTTCTTTGTGTTCAGTAATGCTAATTATGAGGTATTGTTTGATTAGAGATTACAGTCATACAGTTGAGCCTTCTCAGAGTGCCAGTTAATGATCATACAGAGTTTTGTTTTTTGTTCTTCTTTTTTTTCTGGGATTATTGAAGTGGCTGTCCAAAACCTTTATCTTGTTAAAAAACATTTTCAAAGTTCTACTTAGCAGGCTTTACTTATTCATGTAAATGTACGTTTTTCAGTGTGAACCAAGACAAAAGCTGGGTTGAGGTTAAAAGGCCTGAAACAGGGAAGGTGGCTAATCTGCCGTGACTGTAGTAAAGCTCAGTTGCATTTCTGCATATGACCTAAATGTACTTTGTCCGTGGTTGGGTGGGCGTGTGTGACCTACACACCTGTTTTAACTGTGCGGACAGGCAATTGATACTTGGGACGAAGTGAGAGACAGTTTTGCAATATGAACTTTGAAATGTGCTGAGTAATATGCCTAATATTTGACTCCCGTTGGACAGTTTATTCACATGTTAATCCAAAATTTGACTACATGCCAGCTGTCCAGGTTGTCAGACTGTCATGTGGTTCTCCAAAGACTGTTAATGTGTCTTTCTATGAGATTATTATTTTTTTTAAAAGAAGACAGCTTTGTATTGTCTGAATCTCTCAAAGGGAGTGACCCAAGTAGCGATAACAAGTGATAAGGCTGAGACAAACCGCATGACAATCCAGAAAGTAGAAGCAGTGGATGGAGTCTGTCTGCTGGTAGAAGTAAATGTATAAGAACATACGAAAAGTGAAACAATAAAAGTAACAGATTTCCTTCACTGTGTCTGTCAGAAATCTAATGCGTAGCTGTTCCAGTGCAGCTTTCCTCCTAAGAAAGATTGCTGCTGACAAACAGAAATGTGTATCTTAACTCCCTTCTGCATTCTTTCACTGTCTATTAAAAGGCTTACGTAACGATCTGTGAGCTATCACATAGTCAATACTGTTGGAGTGTTTTTCTAAAAGGGCAGGCGAAGTAACCAGTCGTTTGGGCTGTGGTGTAACAGGGTGGTTGTTTCAAAGATAACTGTGAAATTTGTTCTGTGACCCTGAAACTGTTGCAGTTGTCAGGCAGATGACCTATTTCAAATGGTCTGTCATTTAAATCAACATTTAATCTTAACTATTGCTTGGATTGGGTGGAGGTGAAATTGATATATTGGAAACTGATGACTTAAAAGTAACATTGAAATGCTTGACTTGAGGCAGTATGTGGAAAGATCATGTTCCCTCTCCAATTCTTTTTTTGCACTGTCTCCACGGTAAAAACCTGTGTTGTGATCAAGTGCAAGAGAGTTAACTTAAAGTAAAAGAAGTGCTTGAAAAGGTCAACTAAAAAGATGTGTAGTTGTTGAACTCAGACTGTAATATTAACGATGAACTTTGCAGTGTGGTGGCACCCATTG